AAAAAAAAAAAAAAAAAAAAAAAAAAAAAAAAAAAAACAGAAGCACACACACCTACGACATACTCAGTCACGCAGCACTCATGTGAGACAGCACCGTATCTTCATCACACACATAAACCCACACACACGCACAGGGAGAGAAGAACAAGTTGCAATCTTTTAGGATTCCTGCTAAGAGTCGGAGATCAAAAAATCTTGAACAGTAGTCCCATGCATCAGTGCTGGATACTAATGTTTTTTGCTTTTTGCTTTTATTCTCCCCTCGTCAGGCCAGAGCCAATGCCGGCATGTCTCTTTCGCTGTAGCTGTGGGAAATTCTGCAACGCATTGTTGAATGGCTGGCACTGCAACCTCAAACCTCACTAACTACGGCAGCCTTATCAACTAATATCAAGCAAGCAGAGCCTATCGCAAGCCTACGATTGACACCAGAAGGACTACCGTCTTCTCCTGAATAAAACGTACGGTCATTATAGCTGAATTTGGGGCAACTTTCCGCATAGATGCGGCGACATTGACTGCTCGTTTTGCTCCGGTGAAGACCCTAAGCGGCTGTAAACTTCGCACAGCGTTACACAAGAGCACCTCAATGCCCTTCTATTATTAAAAGGAAAGAAATTCTGAAAGAGTGCAAAATATCAGTGTAGAATAATTACTTACTAAGTTACTTGTGCAATCAGACTCGCTTCTTCTCACTCCGCATGCATGCAAACAGATGGCAAGACATACTGGCCCCAGGTGCCCACACAAAGCTCAGAGATCTCTAAGCCGAGAACACAGTTCGGATACAAACTTGCTTCAGATTGGCTATGGCGCCTGGGCGCCTACACTTCTCATCACCGACACTGTATTCACACAAGTGTTCACACGCACTCCACTCCGGACCTCCCTGGATATCCCACGCACACACAGTCTGTATCATACACTCACACAATCACTCTCACTACCACCTATCGATGGCTATGGCAGCTATGGCCACCGGCTACAGCTAACTACAAGCAGCGATGGCTGCTCTAACTCCACTTCAGCCCACTTCGAGTTCGGGCAACTGCAGACCACCTCGCACAAGACGCTAGGGCAGCGCTTCCGCATGGCTCACGCAGGAATCAATGAATGGCTGGACGCTGCCTCTTGATTTATACTTCTGTAAGTCGCTGGTCTGCCCCTTTCCACCGGGCCCATGGTGCACACAGTCCCACATGGTACTTGCTGACTGGACAAAGTGAGACTGGGACTGGGTACCGCTGGCTAAGCAAAGTTGGA